AAAAAAAAAAAAAAACACAGGATTTGTGGGTTCTTATCTCACCAATGTGCTTAACCTAAACGTTTCCAGTCAAAGATCTCAAGAGTTTTTGCAAGATTCTTGAGACCTAAATCCAATGGATTCTCAGCAAGAAATGAAAAATTCCACTTAAGATCACATACCCTCTTGCTCTTAACATCATCAGTTTATGCTAAATCAACCAAGATCCCATTTTTACCTCAAAAGTTGACTTTTTGTCTTCCTGCGGCCCTTCACAAATCTGAAGTTGGTTCTATCTGAATGCCCATTCATAGCATCTCCTAACCAGATTTCATATGATGGGTGCTGAAGAAGAACTCCCAATACAAGACGATGAAGTTCAAGACAGTCAGCAGCCCAAGAATGGGATTTTGAGCTCTGTTTTGGCTCCAATCTACTGGTTAAGAATGCTCGCAAAGGAATTGCATTGGAGTTTTGTGTTTGGGGTAGTAATTGTGTACGGAATGAGCCAAGGACTTGGTGGTTCTCTTTCGAGGGTGGGCACAGAGTATTATATGAAGGATGTACAGAAAGTGCAGCCTTCTGAGGCTCAGGTTTACACAGGGATCACTTCTATACCATGGATAGTGAAGCCGATATGGGGCCTTCTAACCGATGTTGTCCCGATTGCTGGGTATTATCGGAGGCCTTATTTCGTGTTTGCTGGTAAAGAAAAATGATTGATGAATTCGACTGTACTTGTAGTTGGGGTTTTCATTTTGATAGACCCTTTTTATTGCCTCTTGTGAAACTTGACTTGACCAGTTCGGGTTCAGTTCGGGTTCGGTTTCTGGTATAATATTCCAATGCTGCTGTTCAATGGTGTTTGCTTTGTAGTTTATTATTTGGCTGTTTTAGGTGATAACCATTTTAAGTTTGGTTTAGTGATTCTTGTGGTGGGATAGTTTCTGTTGATGGCATCTAACTTGTATGTTCTGTGAGCTCACTAATTCTTATGGTAAAAGGCTTGAGTGCATTCAAACTCCAATCTCAGCTTCTTGTTCTGCATTATTTAGACTCTAAAAGTAGGGCGAGATACGCTTTAGATTTTCGGTTTGTTGCCGTTCTCATACAATATAGTTACTTTAACCACATTATTGAAGCAGATTTTCTAGAATCACAATGGCTTGCAAGTTGCAAACACTCCCTTTTAAGTCGGGGACAAAACTTATCAAACTTTCGATTCCTTGAAATTTTGCACCCCGTATTTAGAAATACATGAGGTACAGATTTGATGAATTAAAGAGTCCCTAGAATGTTTTATGATAGGCAAGCATCGCCACACGTGCTTCTGGTTCAGCGAACAATTCGTTCTGAGTAATTCAAAATTCTTCAAAAAAGGAAGAAAAAGAAAGAATTTTGTGATGTGTTCTTTTGCCTTTTGCAGGTTCCCTTGGGGTCATTGCAATGCTTTTTATATCACTTCATAAGGGTCTCCATATAGTGCTGGCGTTACTTGCGCTAACATCAGCAAGTGCCAGCGTGGCAATTGCTGACGTCACAGTCGATGCATGTGTGGCACAGAAAAGCGGCGTTCATTCTGCATTAGCAGCCGACATGCAGAGCCTGTGTGCTTTGAGCTCGTCAATTGGGTCGCTCGTGGGATTTGCCATCAGTGGTATCTTAGTTTACTTAATTGGTCCCCAGGTTAGTGTAAAATGCACAACCTCTTGTTCCATTATCAGAAAAAAAGATAAATAAATTGTAAGCTTTTCGAAGCTGTAGTAATTTGTTTGATGAACCTTATATTTCCTTTTGAATTGATGAAGGGTGTGTATGGCTTGTTGACTATACCAGCCGGGCTCGTGTTGATAGTTGGTGTTTTGCTCAAGGAGCCTCGGGCATCCAGCTTTGCTTATGGACAGGTACTCACTTTTTTTCTATTCGTTAATCACGAAAATGACCTATGGGATTTAGTTTTAAAAGAAAAAAAAAAAAATCAATCTTTAGGAATGACAAATATATCTATCTTTTTAGTAATAAAATTAGTTAAGTGTGGTTTTCTTGAATCAGATCAACCAGAGGTTTTTAAATGCCGGTAAAGCTATGTGGAAGACATTGAAATGCCCGGAAGTGTGGAGACCGTGTTTGTACATGTACTTGTCATTTTCTTTGAATCTAAACATCTCTGAAGGGATGTTCTATTGGGCGACAGATTCCAAAACCGGACCCATGTTTTCTAAGGTACAACCAACTTAAAGCCTCGACTTTTTTGAGTTCAATCAAAAACATTCTGACATTCTGGACTAGGAACAATGGAAGTCGCACTTGTTTGCATCTCAATCATTTTTCCTTTTTTCTTTTTTTAGGAAATAATCGGCTACATTATGGCAGTGGGCTCCATAGGCTCCCTCCTTGGGGCCATCCTGTACCAATACGGGCTCAAGGACTACCCTTTCCGGGACCTTCTTCTGTGGGCCCAGGTGCTTTCGTGCCTTTCAGGTCTGCTCGACCTTGCGCTCGTCCTCCGTTGGAACCTGAGGCTAGGCATACCGGATCAGTTCTTCGTGGTTGTCGATTCGATCGTGTCCCAGCTGATCGGCCGCCTCAAGTGGATGCCACTGCTCGTCTTGAGCTCCAAGCTTTGCCCGCCTGGCATCGAGGGCACGTTTTTCGCCCTCCTAATGTCGATCGACAATTCGGGCCTGCTGACCTCGTCGTGGTTGGGAGGGCTGCTGCTGCACGTGCTGGGTGTGACGAGGATAAAGTTTGGTAATCTTTGGGTGGCGGTTTTGGTGAGGAACTTGATGAGGGTTAGCCCGCTTTTTTTCCTGTTTTTGGTCCCGAGGGTGGAGCCTGGCATCCCGGTTATCGAGGCAGACGAGGATATCGAGCTTGAGGCGCTCGTCGAGAGTAGGAAAGGGTTGGGTTCTGTGAAGTGAACCCTCAGTGCAGTTTTGTTGTTGTATACTTGAGGTGATGTCACACGTTCATAGTCGAAAATTCTACAGTGGACTGTTTTATCAATGTGTAGGTCGGATTAACTAAAGAATATACATCTGAGTGTAACGAGGATTGCACATCATTATGTATGTTGAAGTTTACGTTTAGTACTGTTAATTTTGTGTATTGATTGATTTATACGATAAATATGGTCTTGCAAAAAAAAAAAAAGTTAATTGCGTATAAAATCTCAACCTTTAGTGTAATTATAAATAAAACTTAAGTTTTTCACCTTTGCAACAAAATACCAAACATTTATTATGTATTGCAATTTTGTCTCAACATCACTTTTCGGCCAAGCCTTGCTAACATGTCCGATTGGAAATTTGACTTGACGCTGATTAAGATTGTGTGGCACTCAAATCCATGTCACACTTATTTTTTCTTCCTTTTAATCCCATTTTCTTCTCAATTTGCAGCCTACTTTTATCAGGAAAAAAAAAAAAAACTTTGGCTTGCGATTTCCGATCGATCATTTTCTCGACGATTCACTTTTGAAAATCACAGTGAGTTCATGGTTTGATTTTACACCCTAAAAATCGAGTTCACCATATGCTTGAGATATTCATTTTGTTACCAAATTTAATTTCCATCGAAGTTGTATCTCTTGTTCTTGATGTTTGTCTGAATTGTTGTAAATGAAGTCAAAACATGTCTCCAATCAAGGCTTGGCCGGAAAGTGATGTTGAGACAAAATTGCAATACATAATAAATGTTTTGGATTTTGTTGCAGCAACAACAACAACAACAGCAACAAAGTCTTTTAGTCCCAAACAAGTTGAGATAGACTAGAGATGAAACTTAAGAAAAACAATGGTAAAAATAAAAAATAAAAAAACTCAAAACAAAACAAAACTCAAAGAAAAAAACAAAAGGAAGAGATTGGAGCAAAAGAGAAAGGAGCAAAAGTCACGGTTCCGGCACGTTGATCGCTAGCCTCCAAGCGCTCCTATCCACCGCTAAATCCTTGGAGATATTCCAATTTCTAAGGTCTATCTGGACCGACTCTTCCCAAGTGAGTTTAGGTCGACCTCTACCTCTCTTAACATCATCGGCCCGCTGTAGAACCCCTCTACGCACCGGTGCATCAGGAGGCCTCCGTTGGACATGTCCAAACCACCTCAACCGATGTTGAACCAATTTCTCCTCAATTGGAGCCACCCCGACCCTATCTCGAATATTCTCATTCCGAATTTTATCCCTTCTTGTGTGCCCGCAAAACCAACGCAACATCTCGCATCTATGCTACACTTAGTTGTTGGACATGTTGCCTTTTTGTAGGCCAACATTCAGCACCGTATAGCAACGCCAGACGAATCACTGTCCTATAGAACTTACCTTTTAGTCTTTGTGGCACTCTCTTATCACAGAGAACGTCTGAAGCTTGACGCCATTTCAACCAACCGGCTGCAATTCTATGTCTAACATTTTCATCAATGACGTCATCTTTTTGTAGCATCGATCCTAAATACCGAAAAGTCTCCTTCTTGGCCATCACTTGTCCGTCAAGGCTAACGTCACCATCATCATGAGTAGTCATGCTAAAAGCGCACGTCATATACTCGGTCTTTGTCCTACTAAGTCTGAAGTCTTTCGACTCTAACGTGTCCTTCCACAGCTCTAACTTTCTATTTACATCTGTCCTACTCTCGTCAACTAGCACCACAAAATGTTACAAATTAAAAAAAATGAATTTTATTTACAATTACATAAATGTTTGAGGGTTTTATACTCAATTAACCCAAAAAAAATATTGGCAGGTGAACATGAGCTATTTTTTTTTTTATCTGGGTTTGTGTGTTTGCTTTGATTTTGGTTAAAATTTTGATACTCTGAATTTTAGAACCCAATGGTTTGTTCGTGTAGGGGAAGACAGAAGATCTTCAACCAATCTGCCTCGTGACTTGAAATTTCTGGTTTTTATTTTACGAATAAATAAATAATAATTCAAAAAATAGTTTATATTTGTAAAATAAAAACGAATCTGTAGTTGACATTTTGTTCAATTAAAGCAACGGCCTTCTGGATGGTCATTAGATGTAAAAAGGAATTAAAAATGAGGAAATTCATTTTTCACTCACGCTGCTAAATAAATATTTCCTCCTTTTTTTTTTTTTTAAATGTCATTCTAGTTTTATCAACTATTTATCAAATAAATGTCGTTTTGGATTTTTTGTACATATTTTTCCACTATTACCCTCAGTTAAGAAATACATTACGTCTTTTCATATTCACTCTTCACTTTTTCTCAAAATTATTGACAAAAAAAATATTCTTAATTAATGTGCAACTTCTCAAAACGACATATTTTAAAAATAGGAAGTAGTAACTTTTTTACTCCACAAAATGCGAACTAAAGTATACGATAAACTATGCGACAGAGAGACGGAGATAACAGATAAAGTTCGAAATATTTATTTGACTGATAAGGTGTGAAATACAAAAGTTGTGCGATAGACATACAAATATAGTTGATAAAGTGCGAAACAAATTATGTGATACGCTATGCGACAGACAGCCGAAGATATTTAATAAAGTTCGAAATGCAGGGCAGACGGAAGTATGGGCGAGCCTAGGCAATTGCCTAGGCTCAACTTTTGGTGCTAATATAGTTAATATGTGCTAATAAAAGATTTATATTTAATATGTATAAAAATTATAAATACAAGGTTTTATTTTAATATTTAAATAGTTTTTATAAAATAACCCAATACAAAACAAACTCTTACATTCCAACGAAAATTTTCCGTTGGAATTTTTTATATTTCCGCTGGAATAGCTATTCCAACGGATATTCCTAATTCCTACGTATAAAAATTCGTTGGAAAAATTGCCGTTACGAAAAATCCTATAGAAATAAATTTCTACATCTATTCCAGCGGAAAACCGTTGGAGTTCCTCAACTATCCAACACTTATTCCAACATAAAATTAAGTTTGTTAGAATATTCATTGGAATTTCCAACGGAAATTTTTGCCGTTGGAATTTCGTTAGAATTGTAGTGTTTTTTTGTAGTGAACATTACTGTTTTTATTTAAGTTGATATACCTCACCGGCTAGATTCGAGGATATTACATTCTAACATTTTTAGTACTGATGCCATATAATAAGCTTGGTAGATAATTTTTTTTTTTCAATTATAATTGATAAATATTTAAATTTTCATTGATAGAGATCAGATAGGTATAATTATTTAATTTCCCTATAAAATATGAATGTCAAATTATATATTGTCAAAATATGACTAATTTAAGTTATGATATATAAAAGATGATAATATATACAAATGTTATTGAATTTTAAAATATATTACAATATAAGTTACCCAAGCTTTTAAATATAAAAGTTCTGGATAAAGATTGATATTAGTATGGACTATTTAGAATCCTTAGGAGTTAACATATAGAACTACAAAGCGTTGGAAATTAACAATGAAAAACTATACATTTAATTATAAGAAGACAATCAACAAGAAATTCTTTATAAAAACAATAAAAACAAAAATGATGACATTTAGTCTTTTCTTAAATTAATAATTTATTTTTTCAAAATGGCTTGTTATTTTTTTATTACGAAAAAATGAAAGAAGAATGATATGATTATTAAATATTTTTGGTATATTTCTTAATAATAATATAAACGCAAAATAAAATATCCAGACATCATTCTCAATTCATTTTTTAGCATCAAGTCAAACGCAAATTAAATAGGGGTTCCTCAGCACCCGATTATTTCAACGATTTATTTAATTGTTAATATAAGTATTTTGTGCAGTATGGTTAAAAATTTCTTCGAACTATCTTTTGCCCTGGCTGGTGAAAATTTCTGGATCCGCCGCTAGCGAAATGAAATATGATATGCGACAAATAATTGATAAATTGCGAACAAACTTATGTGATATACTATACGACAACAAGTGAAAACAATTGATAAAGTGCAGAACAAGTGATTCGATAAACCATGAGCCAGAAATGCAAAGATACTATGCGACCGCGCGAGACAACCCGACCATCGACGGGACGCGCGAGGCAGCTGGACCGTCGCCAGCGACCCGAGAATCCCACGTGGTGCTTGAGGCGCAATAATGGCATGCGTGTCTTGAGGGGCAAGTTGGCCAATTTTCCTGCTTTATCTATTATTTTAATTATGTTTCTAATTAGCATATGTGTTTGACTATTTTGGTAATTTCTAAGACCATAAATTAGTTGTTCTTTTATATAAATAGCCTATGCAATCAGCTTTGATTTTATTAAATAAATAAGAAATAACAAAACGCTCTTTCGAGGAAAAAAATAAAAAACTCGCGTTAACCAAGACTATTAGTGCGGCTTTCCAAAAACACAAATCCACGATATACGATCTTCACCAGCCGCATCCAAAATAATACTAACTGCAAAAGCTTATTATTTTTCTTTTGTAATATGTAGATATTATTTAACAAGATTCCTTCCCTTGTATAATCCTACATATAGTAGGACACACATTTATATATTTTCTTCATTGTAATGAATGAAAAGATTACTTTCAACATATCAATTGTTCTCACTTTCTACATATATACATATACATATATTATTAATTTCATTATCTTTTGTGAGTGTGCCATTTATGGTTA